ATACAAATATATTTAAATTCAAACTTCCACAAATAATTCTGCACATTGCACAAAACATGGAATATGATAAAGGAAGGACTGGGCAACCAAAAGGATCAGCTCAGGGCACCTCTGACTAGAAAACCCAAGTTATTAGTTCTGATCTCTGCAAAACAGTCAAAGCTGAACAGACATTCTTGAAATGAACGAGTTGTTGAACTGCACAAACACATACGGTGCACTTGCAATATGAGACCAGTGTTGCTCTGCTTCTTTCACAGTTTTCTACATTGTCTTTGCTAAAATGAAAGATTTCGTTGGTGCACTAATGATTCGTATTTAGATTAGGGAAGAAAATATCTAAATATCTAAATCTACATATTGTCAAGTATTTTTAGACACACTTTATAGAACACAGTGCAATTTTGCCGTTTGACAAAAATCTTTAAAGGAAAGACAGCAAAGCTCAGAGGACTTTTGAGCTACAGTAATTAATGGTATTCAATCAAATTCCTTAATGAGTCTTCACAGAGTGAAGTAAAACATCTAGCGGCGTGACACTGCATTGCCCACAGTCAATGAAATGATCCGTTTCAGTAAAATGTAGAATAACTCGGAGGATCAGTCAAGTGTGTTTGGAGTTGCGTGCTGATATCTCATTTTCAATTCGGGTTTATATACAGTTTAATGTATCGCCAATTCACTGCACGCTCATCTCGAGGCGCTTCACGTAGTGAGGAACAAGTAAGTCATTTTATTTTCTGAAGTATCTCATAACGCATAACATTATCATAATGATGTAAAACAGTGAGGGAATGCAGGAAATTAGCAGAAGATGAAATAATCATGTAATTCCTCAAAGACGCACAGACATATTTAAGAAGCGACGGGTGCAGTTCAGGGCGCACGGTGGATGACACGAGATAAACGACACTGAAGGCCTGTGCCTGGTAGCCTGAGATTCTGCAAATACTTAAGTGTGACAGGATGACAGAATGTGTGTTTGGGTAAAACAGAGAAAAGTGAGAGATGGAGGTGCTGAGATAAAGGTGTGACAGTGTGTTTCAAACTCTCATTATAACAGAAGCAGCTCTTATCTGACCCAGTCTGCAACTTTCTGCCAGACCCTGACGCTACCTGATAAGGTGTGCGTATTCGTTTTTAGGCGTATCGGCAACATGCTGCATATCAAAGGCTACAAACACTTAAGACTGCTCGAACTTCTGTCCCCTGAAGGCCTCAAATATATCATCAGTCTGTAATGATATATTTTTATACTTGTTTGGGTGAACCTACTTTCACTTCTTGTTCTTTGGCTTTGAGTCAGTGACTCATGCTTTCCAAAAAAAAAATCCTTTGAACAAGTCAACGATTGCTGCGCTCAAACTCTTTCATTACTGCTCCAAACATCTGGATGCAACATCTCATCATCTGTATTCACAGTGATGTTACCTAAGGCAGACACTTGAAACACATCTCGGGTATAAAGCAAAACATTAAAAGCAAAAAATAGTGTTTATAGTTTAGATTTTAGTTCACATAGATTTGAGATTATTGCACTTAAGGAATACTTTGCACTGGAGGTAACCCAAGTTCATTAATCATTCATCCTTGTTTGATTGATCAGAGTTGATGCTTTGTCTAATAAAAACAAATTAAAAATATAGTGCAGATACACGGCATGAGAAAGACAAACACAGAGAAGAGACTTTTTTTCTGAAAGGTAATCACAGACTGTATAAAAGATGGACGTAGCAACCGGCCGTGAGAAACGAAGCCAACCCGAAAGTGTCAAAAACCTGCAATATCACTACGTCCACTGGTTGCTGGCTCCAAAAAGCCCTGGCTCCCATAGACTGGAATTGGAAAAGAAGTGATCACAGATCATGAAATACTGCATTCCTACAGCTCAGGATGTTTTTCTTATTAGTTTTCATGGTCAAATCCAGAGATCAGGTGGCCAATCTGAAAATAAATCAATACTGAATTTTTAAAAAATCATCAACATTTTGCGGGGCAAGGGGCGTGGCTGGCTTGATTGACAGTCGGCAGCGACGATGCAGACGAAGCGAGCAGAAGGCGGTAAATGTGGGCGGGCAGAGAGGGCCCGCCTCTCAATCCGTCTGACCAATTGCTGCTCCTATGGCTCCGCCCCCTCCGACGATTTTTGCCTCACTGGCTCCAAAAATCCAAGATGTCAACCAGGAAGTAGCAAAACCCTGGCTTCATTTTCTCAGTGCAGAAACCAACGGGTGACGTCACGGTAGCTACGTCCATCTTTTATACAGTCTATGAAGGTAATGCAGATGATGTCAAAGTTCCCACAAACATTACAGTCATTGAGATTATTACCTGTGATGATCACACATGGTTTCATTTGTGTGGGACAGAGGAACTCATTATGTTGAGTGTAGCTTAAACTTACTAGTAAGAAAAAAAGAGCCATTGTTCAGTGATTTTTTTTAGTAACACCTGTTTAATAAAGGCTGAGATTGACAAAGAATTTCACTTAATAGAAGAGAAAATGACAGCTGCTGAATTACTCTTGTTCCTTCCACTCCAACCCCAGCATAAATATGCACTTAGTTCTAGTAAAAGACAGCCGGTTCTAAGGGGGGTTTTGTTGTTATGCAGAACATACTTGAAAAGCCTGGTGTAGAGGTATGCAGTAAGAATATAAGGTTAATGTTATCACACATAAATATTTATTGAATTTTAACACAAAAAATATCAAAATGTCTTGGACTAAAATAAAACCCACGTCAGTCAACACCTCAGCAGCAAACTTGGAGGTATTAAATGAAAAAAGGCCAGCGTCCAGTCTTACAGCCTCCAGTAAGGGTGGAACTAAAAATCATTTTCATTAAGGATGAATCTGTTCATTATTTTCTATTTCTAATCTATTAATTATTCGGTCTCTGAAATGTCTGGTGCTGCCCAAAGCCACAAGTGACATCCTGAAATGTCTTGTTTTGTCTAAAAAAGATATTCAATTTATTCTCATAAGAGAA